TTACAACCCAGCATATGAATAAATATCCATGAGTCCACACAGATATGAATGGTTGAATAAAAAAATAAATGGGATGCCCGGCAGGGCATGGTTCAGCGGTTGAGCGTCGACCTAGGATCCAGGCGATCGGGGTTCGATTCCCAGTCAGGGCACATGCCCGGGTTGCGGGCTCGATCAATGACTCTCTCATCATTGATGTTTCTATCTCTCTCTCCCTCTCCTTTCCTCTCTCTGAAATCAATAAAGATATATTTTAAATAAATAAACAAATAAATAAATAAATAAATAAATAAATGGGAGAGAAGAGACAAAGAATACCAAATAACTTATACAGATACTTCACCCTGAAGGAGGGGAAGTAGGACACACTACTCTGTTAGTGTGGGCTGCACATAGAGACCTCCTTCCAAATAGGACAGTATAGAAAAGGGAGGGGGATGCGGAGAGTAACTTTACAGTGGAAAAACCTGACAAATGCTACCTCAGTCAGTTGAACATCATCAACCATCATAAATCAAGTTGATAGTATGTACCCTTAATGTGATATGACAATGGCACTTTACATCAGACAAATTCCAATACGAGGAAATTCTACCACACACCTGACCAGGACTCCTTAAAACTGTCAGTCATCAAAAACAAGGAAAGTCTGCCCGGCCAGTGTGGCTCAGTCCCCAGTAGGAGGCATGAAGGAGGCAGCTGATGGATGGTTCTCTCTCATTGATGTTTCTCTCTCTCTCCCATCTCCCTCTCCCTTCTTCTCTCTAACAAAAAAAAAGGGGGGGGGAAGTCTGAGAAACCTTCACAGCTAATAGGAACCTAATGAAACAATCACAACTAAGTGTAATAGGAGATTCTGGAACAAAAAAAAAGATTAGGGAAAAAACTAAGAAAATCTGAATAAAGTATATATTTTAGTTAATAACAATATATTAATATGTATTCATTAACTGAAATGAATGTAATAAGCTATTATAAGGTTGTTAATAATCAGGGTAACAAGATATAAGGTATACTGAAAGTCTCTGTACTATCTCCATAATTTTTCTGTAAGTCTAAAATAACTCTCAAAAATTAAGTCCATTAAATTAAAAACAAAAACACACAAAAAACCAACAGATCACAATAGCCAAGAAAAACCCCAGAATATACGTACTGCTGGGGTACGAAACAGGGAACATTACAAAGTTATGTGAGAATGACGGGCTTTTGAAAAAGTGATGCTGGGAGTACTGGCTGTTCACAGGGGAATTAGATTACTGTCTCATGCCACATACAAATTACAGTTGGACTAAAATTTCATATGTGCAAATCCAAATTTTTAAAATTATTAGAAGAAAGGCTTAGTGATTATCTTCATGAAAAGAAAGGCCATCTTAAACAAAAGAAAAAAAGCATAAAACATACAGAAAAGACTGATTTGTCTACATAAAAGTTTTCAGCTTCTACAAGACAAATGATACTATTTAATGAAGAAAATAAGGACAAGTGACTGTCCATAAGAAATGGTGTTCAACCTAAAATGACCCAAAGGATTAATATACAAAATACAAATAGACAAACTCTGCAAATAAGTAAGAAAATTATAAACTAATAGAAAAATCAGGAAAGGATACGAACAGACAATTCACAAAGGAATAAATGGCCATTAACAAATGGAAATATGCCCAATGTCAGTAGGATGCACATCTAACGCTTAAGGTACCAGGTTTTCCCCATCAGGTTTGTAAAAAAAAAAAATTATAAAAACTGATAACATTGAATATTGGCAAGAATGTGGGAGAAATGATCTTTTATTTCTTTTTTATTGATTGATTGGGGTGATATTGGCTAATAAAATTATATGCGTTCCAGGTGTACAATCTACCGTATAGTGTGTTCACCACCCCAAGTTCAGTCTCCTTCTTTCACCATGTATCCCCACTTTACCCTTCTCCACCTCAGGAAAGGATCTTTAATGCACTGGCCATGAATTAAGTGGTTTAACTACTCTGAAAAACAATTTGACATCTATTAAATGTGCACATCTTTTCTCCCAAAATATTAGAAAAGGACCAAAAACAGGGTTTTCATCACCAGTAGCCTGCGCTTCACTGTACTGCGATACCATGGAAAACAATGCATTAACTTAAAAGGATGAGGCAGGTACATAGGTGTACGTAGAGAGAGATACAGAGACAGATACATAGACACAAACCCCTGCCATGAAATACCCCTCCAAGATGCATTACTTGGTATAGAAAGAAAATTCTAGAACAATCCATGGAGTACGCCAGAATCTGTGATTTAAAAATAAAGAAAAAATACATACAATAATATACTTACAAACACACATAAGTGTCTACTGTACAGAAAATTCTGGAAGAATGCCCCTCACACTGAGACAGAAAATGAGACTAAGGAAAGGGTGGGGAGTAAGAATCCCTTTTTCATCTAGTCAACTTTGACAATGAGAATGTTTTTATATACTACTTGTGGAATTCAAAACTGTTTTGCTTATTGAACTAAGCAGAAAGAAGAAGAGGGAGAAATGGTAGAAGTCGGACGCTGAAAGCATTTTCCCACAGGAGTGGTGTGTGCACTGTTAGTCACGTGCCGCTCTGCTGCACGAGCCTCTGCCCTTGAGTTATGCTCCATGGCCGTTCCCCTGGGGACCTGATAATGGGAACAGCAGCGACGACATTGCTAAGCAACACCGCTTATGGTATACATGACCCCTGCCTGCTAAACAGCATCTGGTCTGCGAGAAACTACAAGGAAACCATTACCACCTGATGGGTACACCGTACTCTGGACTTCCCCAAATGCAGTGTGACTCTTGGAACAGGCATGTCTTTTCTGCCTGACTCAAACTTTGTTGGGACATACAGGTCAAAAATATCACAAAGCCAAGGGTGAGTCACATCAGCATTTTAGATTTGCACCAAGTGAGCCAGCTATGTGTGGAAAAGTCCTTTTCAAATTCTAAATAGCCTATGTTCTTTTCCATGACTGACACCCAAACTGCCTTATAAACTATAAATACTCCATTTTAATCATTCCCTGAGTTAAATGTAAGCAAAACTATTTTGCATTCAATTAAACTAAGGTATTTTTGGTGAATACCAAGGCATAAAACTTAAATTCATTACACAACTGTAGTAAATTTATGCTTCAAATAAATTTTAGCTACAATTTCCCAAACCACTATGGAAAGTTAAATCATTCATTTTATATAGTACAACATAATGTGGGACTATATAAAAACTAAAAGAAAAAAGAATTTTCCAAAGAAGCTGGCTTCCAAGTTATGTCTTGAGAAAAAATATTTTTATGTAATTTAAAAATCAAAATCACTTCCTAAGAAAAACTAATCCTCGGTATAAATCACAGTATGAAAAAAATCATTCTTGATGGATAAAGATGAGACAAAACTTGTCCAAATATAAATGTAAATATGCTTTAAATAGCAAAGAATGATATTTGAAAATAGTGCTAATGAAAATGCCAATGTAACATAATACAACACAAAATCAAATTTGTGACTCAGCTTTATAAACACTGTGGTGCCAGTAACTGTCCAGTGTGAGACAGCTATTTCACCTGGTTATAAAATGGTATTAACAGAACCGAATTCAGTCTGTTCAGTGCAACACTCGGAACTTTCTTTTTAGTCACACTCTATGACACCACTTCTTTTGCGGGGTCTTTAAAATACTTGGCATAGATCCCCAACCCACTCACATGCTGTTTTAATAGTTCTAGGAAGGGTCCCGGAATCTGCATTTTTAAAGAGTCGATTCTGGGGAATCCCGGAAAAGGAATTCAAGGGGGCAATGACCCCCCACCCCACCCCACCCCCTGAATCAGGGCAGAAGGAGGGGATTTCACACATACATAAAAGCATGAGTTTTTTTCCCTTTCTTGGAAATCTTTATTGTAAGTATCACTAAGTCTTACAACTGATAATAATGTGAAATATGTTTGTTGTAATTAAATCCCTTAATGACATATTTGAACTTCAGAATAGTTTTTACCTCTGGTCACAGAAAGAAGGAAAATACAAGAATGGGATAGGAATAATGTTTTATTTCTTAAAGAAAAAAGTGAGACGTCTGAAGCAAGTATTGCAAAAAGTCTGTACCTATTATTAAATCTGAGTGAAGGTTAATATGAATATCACTGGACAGTAGTCTCCCCCTTATCTGTGGTTTCACTTTCTGCAGTAAACTAAGGTCCAAAAGTATTAAATGGAAAATTCCAGAAATAAACAATTCATTAGTTTTAAATTGCCTGCTGTTCTGAGTATCGTAATGAAGTCTTGTGCCATCCCTCTCTGTCCTGCCTGGCACGTGAATCATACCCTTGTCCAGCGTCCCCACTCTGTATACGCACCCCAACCGTTAGTCACTTAGTAGCCATCTCGGTTACCAGAGTGACCATCACAGTCTCACAGTGCTTGTGTCCAAATCACCCTTATTTTACTTAATGATGCCACATTCACATAACTTTTGTTACAGTATACTGTTATAACTTTTCCATTTTATTATTAGTCATTGCTGTTCATCTCTTACTGTGCCTAATTTATGAACTGAACTTTATCATAGGTATGTATGTGTAGGAAAAACATACTACATATAGGGTTTGGTGCTATACGCGGTTTCAGGCATCCACTGGGGTCTAGGAACGTATCATGTATCCTCCACAGGTAAGGTGTGACTATGTGTTTACCACACTTTTCTGTATGTTTAAAATACTTAATATTTTTTAAAGAAGTGTAAATAAAGAACATTATTCGAAAAGACAGTACGAGAGGATCAGCACAAGCACCACAACCTGCAGAAAGCAGCAGTCAATGCCCTTTGATGCCTTTTCTTGGAAGGATACGCTGATTTTATGCCCCTCGTCTTGGTTACACAAGTATGACCTGTTTGCACTTGTTAAAGTAACTCTGTTTTTCACCGTGAACAAGAAGATTTAAGTAAAGATGGAAGGAAACCACCCCTCTCGGGTTCACATACCTGTGTCGCTACCAGGTCCTGTTGACAAAGCTGGCATGATGCAGACTGCAGGCTGGAAGCCGCACTCCACACAAACGCTCTCAGCTCAGAAAGCCACAGGGAATTCCAGCTCCACCGCCTGCAGCCGCGCTGTCTACCAAGATTTATATATCGCACAGGCCGTTTCTACAAAGAAGAAGAACAGTTTAAATTATAATAAAAAGAAAGGTTATTCAATTGCAACATTCTGGAACTAATCGTATTCCAACACACTACCAGAGAGATCACAATTCTTCAGAATTTTTTCTATGTGCTACATACAAATATTGAGTGTGAGAGTTTTTCGTTTTGATGTAAAATCTCTAATTAAAAATATGAAAGTTTTTAATGGATGTATCAAGACTCCCTAAAAGCTTTTTAAGGTTAGTTTGAGGACAGCTGAATGCATAGATGGAGAACTTAAAGAAGCTTTTGTAAGCAAATACCATTTTAAAATTCCTTCCCTCTGTTAATCATAATTCTAAGTTATTTCCTAATGTAAAACAAAGACTATAAATTGTCAACAACTTATAACTAATTCTAATTTTTAAAAAGAGCTCATCCTAATATCACAACTGCAAAGCTCTCTAACTGAAAACTGCAAATAACCTATGAAAGAATACTAGAATTGAAGCACGGTATTACAGATTTACAGAAGTGTTAATAATCTAAAGTAAACCTAACAATCCAAGCTAATATACAAAAGTAAATTCTTTTAGTAAAAACAAAACTTTGGTGTATCTTGGAAAATATCAATTACTTTTCGATAACTATTTTAACTAATGTTTATCCCAAAATAAATAGTAAATGTACTATTAGATAGTAGCTAACAGCAATTACTCTAGAGTTTGGCCTAATCTCTAATCCTGTGAGCTCTGTGATCTGGGACAGTTATTTAATCATATTAAGCTTTAAACTCCTTGCAAGCAAATGAAGATAACAGCAATTTAAAACTGATAATTAAATATAAGGCACACAACATAGCATCGGGGACATGGCAAACAAATAATAAATGCTGGCTATTATGACTGGAGTTGTTTAATTCAGGTAATGAGATTATAAAATGTAAAAATAAAAGAAAGCAGCAAGATTAAAATTTACATTGTCCTGACACCTAGAACATGTGGTTTAAATTTAGACCACTGCTGCTTAATAATGGAAAATGCACTACATTTACATTTTTTAGAAATCAGAGAACTAAACAATGTGTTTAAGTTCTTTTTCTAATGGATTTTCCCCAGTTCTCTATAAAGCAAATTCAGTAATTTAAAAGTGTATTTTAACATATATTAAAAGAAAAAACAGACATTGTAAACACCCAGAAAACTGCCTCACTTCAATTCTAAAGCCTTTAAATTGATGATTCATATTACAGAATAATAAATGAGCTTGCCAAATTTCACTGGAAAAAGTCCAAACTGTAAAATTCTATTAAAGCCTTCTAAATTAGCTTTTTAATTATCAAAGTGAATGTTCGTAGGAAAAAATTCACCATCAATAGACTACATTGGACCAGACTATCTGGTGCAATGTCTTGAATTTTGTTTTCTATTATTACAAAGGTTGACAGAGTCAAAATATGCATATAAATCTATATAGAGAGGAGTGTTAATTAAAAATATGAGGGCAATTATTTTAAATACCAAATAAAAATATAATATAAATCACTAAGCTAAAAATAAAAAAATAAGAGAGAAAAAGATAAAGCAAAGTTTCATTAATGGTCATCTCTGAAGCTGTTTTCCCCAAAAAATTCTAAAAGGCAACTCTGCTTTCTTTCATATAAATTATTCTAACAATCAGGATTAGAATTCAACTACATAAAAGTGTTCCTAAATTCAAACACAAAGAGAGTCGAAACAGACCATACATAATTTAAATATCACATAATCTCACGTATATGTGGAATCTAAGGAACAAAATAAATTGATGAACAAGACAGGACCACAGTCATGGAAGCATAAAACTGAGAGATCTCAGAGGGAAGGCAGGAAGGAAGGCGGGAAGGAGGGCGGGAAGAGATTAACCAAAGAACTCATAAGCATATATGCATAACACGTGGGCACAGAAAACAGACAGGTGAAGGCCTGGGGTGCGGTGGGAGATGGGGGGAGGGGGGCAAGGGAAGGGAAATGGGGGACATCTGTAATACTCTCAACAATAAATTAAAATAAATATGCATTCAATTAGTAGACTTTTGTTTTGCTGCTGAGAAAAAAAGGTAGAGATGGTTAGAATTTACAAAGTGTATGCACATACATTTCTATAATTAGGGCACTATATATGTATGTGTGAGTAGGCAGTTATTATATGCGTGTCTCAGTATGTAATTTAAGCTCTTTATGCCATGAGAAAAGTTCTAATTTGTGTGGCATAGATTGTTTAACCACAGAAATACATATACTATGCAAACTACCACTTTCTTCAGCCTTAAAAACTTAGAGTGTTTCACTTTTATAAACAACAAATACCATATAATAAGCAAAGTTTTGCTTACATCAAACTTTCTGTTAATACTAAGACAACCTTACATTCCACATCAAAACAACCTTCTGAGTTGATATTGCTGCTGTACATATATCTCATATATGAAAAGCCTTAGCATTTCTTATTTTTTACTTCACAATGAACATTCAAAGTTAAATTTTTCCAAAGTTATATTATTTAAGAAATGTATGCTACAAAGTAATTCTCTTCTCAGAACATCTATAGTAAAAAATAAATAGTTTGGTATAATCCCTACCACTAAAATGCTCAATATTTTGTAAAATCAAGCAGAGTTGCTGGGTTTAACTTTCAAACTGAGTTAAATTTTTGTAGTAATCATGTATTTTTTTTGGCTAAATTTATTGAAAATGCATTGGAATTTGTCAGAACCCAGCCGTAATTATCACTGACTGTTGTATGGAATCGATTTTCTACAACACAAAAATACCAGCTGTTATAGTATGTCCTGAGAGGGATTACCGAATATTCTTAAATTGAAGTTCAATCCATCTTTCCATAAAAAAGAGAGAGCCAGGAACATAGCGGTATAAAGTGCACCTGAAGCATTTACAATACCCAATAGAACTATTACAACCCTCCTTTAAAAAGGCTTATTTTTGAAATTTCATTATTCCAGTTGTACCTTGCTTCTATATATCACACTGTATCAGGTTCTTCTGGCATCTATCATGTGGAAACAGTGAAATATGTGAAGGTCTACGAGCTTACAATGTCCGATTTCTACCAGCCAGGGGTAATTCTTAGGGCTCCCGTAGCACTCATGACATCTAGTGGTCAATCACAGGAGTGCAAGTGTTTGTAGCAAAGTTTTCCGAGTTTTGAGTCAAGAAAAGATTGTCTTAATTGCACCCAGTGAAAAAGTTACCAGGAAAAAAGAAAAACGGCATACACACATTATTAAAGAAATGGACTCTCTGCCCGAGTGTCTCCTCTACCCTCAATACTCAGTATAAACACTACTTCATTTCTGACATCAGAATGTGGTTTTTAAACATCAAGCAATTCTGTTTTATCAGTGATTGTCCTACAATTCAACTCAATTCTGATCCTTTTTTACCTGGAAATAGCATCAGATCCCACAAGTTAAAGACTCACACCTACGAGACTGTCTCTCCCCATTCAGATGTCAATAGAAAGTCCACGTTGTCACTTGTGCTTCTAATCAATTAACTATAAATGAGAGGTGTCAAAACACCTTCCATCCTCAGGTTTGATTAATTTGCTAGAGCCAAAGAACTCAGGAAAACATTTTCCTACCAGATTACCAGTTTATTATAAAAGGACACACTCGGGCACAGCCAGTGGAAGAGATACACAGGACAAGGTATGTGGGAAGAGGCCCCTCTCTGCACCTCCATACTTTCACAAACCCAGAAGCTCTCTGAGCGCGGTCCCTTTGCGATTTTATGGAGACTTCATTACATATGTGTGACTGATTAATCATTGGCCATCGGCAATTGATTCAATCTCCAGTTCCTCTCCAGTGGGAGTGGGGCTGAATTATACCGGTAATTATCAACGTGTGATTTGTAGACCCCAGTGGACTCCAAGACCCTCTCAGAGGGATTCGTGAGGCCAAATTATTTTCATAAATATATTTTTAACATTTTAATAGTATATTAATATATTAATGCATCAACTGTGATTATTAACATATTGACACTATTTTAACATATTTAACTTTTTATTTTTTATTAAATTTATTGGGGTGACATTAGTTAATGGGGTCACACAGGTTTCAAGTGTACATCTCCATGATACATAATCTATACACTGCACTGTGTGCCCACTACCCAAAGTCAAATCTTCGGCCAACCTATACTTGTCCCCTTTACCCTTTACTACCCCCCCAGCCCCTTCCCTCAGGTAATCACCATACTGTTGTCTGTGTCTACGAGTTTCAGTTTTATAATCCACATGGTTCTTAGCTTTTTCTGACTGACTTATTTCACGGAGCATAATATTTTCAAGGCCCATCTATGTAATCACAAATGGCAGTACTTCATCTTTTCATATGGCTGAGTAGTATTTCATAGTATATATGCACATCTTTTTTATTTTTTTATTATATTCATTACTGAAAGTATTACAGATGTCCACTTTTCCCCCCACTGACCCTCTCCACCCTGCTCCTGGCCCCTCCCTAGGGCTTTCACATGGTCTCACTTATATGTGGAATCTAATGAACAAAATAAAATGACAAAATAAATCCAGATACACGGAAGCATGCAACAGACAGACAAATCTCAGAGGGGGGGGGCATTAACCAAAGAACTTACATGCATATACGCATAACCCATGGCCACATCACTACACAATCCACTATTGAAAAGGTTGTCCCCGTGCCTCGTCTACTGTGTATAATGGTGCAATGAACATAGAAATGCACATGTCTTTGTGAATAAATATTTCCGAGTTTTTCGGGTAGATACCCAAAAGACAAATTGCTGGGTCATATGGTGACTCCATTCTTAATTTTTTGAGGCACTGCCATACTGTTTTCCATAGTGGCTGTACCAGTCTACATTCCCACCTGCAGTGAATGAGGGTTCCCTTTTCTCCACAATCGCTCCAAACACTTATTTGTCTTGTTGATAACAGCCATTCCAACAGGTGTGAGGTGCTATCTCATCATAGTTTTGGTTTGCATTTCCCTAACAGCTAGAGAAGTTGAGCATCTTTTCA